GTCTATGCCCCTTTCTAAAAGGAGGACAAAACCATACCATGGAACACTAATAAGTACATTTAATATTATACATTTCAAAAATAAGCTTTAGCTAAAAGGTTCATGTAATCTCTCTCAATTGCCTCTTTTTTCTAAATTTCAAGCACTAGATGGATCTCTATTACCTATGGGCACATGATGAAGCCCACCCGCAACTTGATTATAGGATAGAAATCCAAAAGAAATTGCTTGAGCTTATACAGATTGAGATTATAAGCAGATTCAAACACCACACATTGCCACTGCGAATCTAAAGCTATTTTGTGGTTGAAGCGATGTGGGTTTTGAGTAGAAGCAATTAAGTACAAAATCATAAGGGGAGGATTGTATGAAATTTGCTTCAGAAATGTATTAGAGGATCCTTCTAATAACTTACAAACACTTAACATCTTGAATGATAAAAAGGGCAGTTAAAATCTTTCATGAGATTAGTGAGTATTGGAAATGACTTTGTTTAGGATATTTCATATTTCACGTGAAGAGAATCACCGCTTTGGTGGTTGAATCACATAAAATTGTTTTAACAGAGTATTATGTAATTATAAATAATTAAAAGTCGGTTAATTAGTCAATACATTCATTATGAGTAGTCTGACAGCCGTTCGTTTCAGTGTGTTATAAATTGGAGTCCTATAGATGATTTGTATCAGACTTCTCCTCTGTTCTCTCTTCTCTATTTCTACATGCTCTCTGTCCTCTCCTCTAATTCCTCTCTCTCTCTCTCTCTCTCTTTGAATTTACCATAACGGTGGTAACAGAGCAGTCACTGCTCGACTCGTTCCTCATATGTGCTTCTAGTTAATGGTCTCTACAAGGTCCAAGAAAACAAAATTTATAGAAGATTTTTTGGCAACCACTAAAGAAAGGTTGGGCACTATTGACGAACTCCAAAATATAGGTCGTGACCTTCAGGCTATAGTGGTAGCAAATTATGAAAATCTAAGACATGATTAATAGGAAGAAGGACGAAATGGCTACCAGAGACCAACTCAATTCACTAAGATGGAATTTCCCAAATACCAAGGGAAAGACATTCACACCTGGATTTTAAAAAGATGTCATAGAGAAGCTGATCAATGAACTACTTCAGACAGGAGCGATACAAGAAAGCTCATCTCCATTCTTTGTCCCTATTGTCCTAGTTAAGAAAAAAAAAATGGAACATGGCACATGTGTATTGACTATCGTGAGCTCAATAAGAAGACTACAAAGAACCAATACCCTATTCTATTAGTGGAGGATTTGCTAGATGAATTGAGTGAAGCTAAACTATTTACTAAGTTAGGCTTAATAGCAAGGTATCGTCAAATCTGTATGGTGCCTGATGACACTTACAAAACTGCCTTCAAAACCCACCCTAGTCACTTTAAGTGGTTGGTTATGCCCTTTGGGCTTACCAATGCCCCAGCCACATTTCACGGGGCCATGAATGATGTCATCCTGCCCTTTCTTCATAAGTGTGTATTAGTGTTTTTTTATGACATTTTGATCTATAGTTCCTCTCTTGCAGATCATGTCCATCATCTCAAACAACTGCTGCAAATCCTAAGGATAACCACTGTTATGTCAAGAGAGCAAAGTGCACATTTGTAACAACTAATGTGGAGTATTTGGGCCATATAATTTGTAATAGGAAGGTGTCTGCAGATCTAAAGTAGATCCACGCTAATGCTAATTAGCCAAGACCTAAGTCAGTGAAACATTTAAGGGCATTTCTTAGGCTAGCTAGTTATTGCAAACACTTCATCAAGGAGTATGGTATGTTGGCAAAGCCTTTTATAGCTCTATTGAAGAAGAATGCTCTTGGATGGTTAGAGAAAGCAAGTGTAGCATTTAAGAGCCTTAAGGAGGCTATAGTTTCAGCACCTGTTCTAGCATTACCAGATTTCTCATTGGTATTTGTTGTGGAGACTAATGCATGTGGAGTCAACTTGGGGGCTGTGGTGATGCAACAAGGTCAGCCCATTGCAGTTTTTAGAAAAGCACTAGGCTCTAGGCACTTAAATTTTTCGATATATGAAAAGGAGTTTATGGTGGTAGTGCAAGCGGATCAATATTTGGAAAGGAGTAAATTTATTATAAGTACTTATTAGCAAAGTCTTAAATATTTGCCTGGTCAAAAGCTTAAGACTCCCTTCCAAATGTATTGGATTGCTAAACTCATAGGATATGATTATAAGATCCAATATTAAAAAAAAGAAAAGAAAAAAAAAGAAAAAGGAAATGATAACACTGTTGTAGATGCTTTGTCAAGGCTACATGGGCCTCAGCTTTTGCAAATGGCAGTACATACTACTTCTCTAGAGCTGTTGCATCCATTAAACACAGCTAGAATGAGGATCAACATTTAGTAGATTTAATAATCCAGTTAGAAAGGAAAAATGGCCAACTAGGTGCTTATACTTGGGATGGCAACTAGCTGAGGAAGAAAAACAGGTTGGTGATAGGCAATATTCCTGCTTTGAGGCAGCAATTACTTGAGTAGTTACACTCAAGTCCTCAAGGTGGTCATTCTGGAATTCAAGGCACTTATCAGAGGGTAAAGAGGTTGTTTTGGTGAAAGAATCTGCACAAAGATGTTAAAGACTTTGTAAGTGGATGTGACACGTGTTAGATGTAAAAATGAAAAAATGGCTTCTCCTAAGTTGTTACATCCTCTTCCTATTCAAAGCAAAGTGTGGGAAAGTATATCTATAAACTTTATAGAGGGTCTTCCTAAATCCAGTGGAAAATAAGTCATCTAGGTTATAGTTGATAGAATGAGCAAGTATGCTCATTTTATTGCCCTCTCCTACCCCTTTTCAACTTCCACACTTGCCCTAATGTTTCTTGCATCAAGTGTATAAACATCATGGAGCACCAATGGAAATTATTAGTGATAGAGATCCCATTTTTGTGAGCAATTTCTAGAAAGAATTCCTTCAAATCTTGAAGATTGAGCAACATCTTACTAGGCTTACCATCCACCAAGCGATGGTTAAACTAAGGTGCTAAACCAGTGTTTGGAATCTTATCTTAGGTGCATGTGTTGGGAAAATCCTAAAGAATGAAACTCATGGTGGGCTCTATCTGAATCAGTACAACACCAATTTTCATACTTCAACTAAAACAACACCCTATGAGCTTTTGTATGGTCAGAAACCATCCTTATATTCTTCTCATATTCCTAGGACAACAATTGTTGAAGTGGTGGACAGAAGTTTTGAACCAATGGAAAGGATGCTTGGTGTGTTGAGATATCATTTGCACATATCAGCGAACACTATGAAACAAAAAGCTGATTTAAAGAGGTCTGATCGTGAGTTTGAGTAGGCCAATGGATTTTCTTTAAATTGCAACTCTATAGACAGGCTTTTGTAGCAACTAGAAGTTCTTAGAAATTGGCACCAAGGTTCTCTGGATCTTATAGGATCCTAGAAAGAATAGGACCTGTTGCTTACAAGTTGGATTTGCCTGCTAAATCGCAGATCCATCCAACTTTTCATTTTTCTCTACTCAAACTGTGTCTTGACCCATCTATCAAACAAAGACATCTTTCTATAGAGTGCCCCACTGCTCCTACAACGCTCTACCCAGAAAGAATACTTAACAGGAGAGTAGGAAAGAAAAAGAGGAGGATAATTACTAAAGTTCTGGTTCAGTAGAGATGTTTACTTGAAGAAGAAGCAACTTGGATCTTTGTGGTTGATAATCCTTGAAGGCAAGGGTTGTTTTTGAAGAGGGTATTGTTATGAAATTACAAATAATTAAAAGTCATTCATTTAGTTAATACGTCCATTATGAGTAGTCTTGTAGCCATTAGTTTCAGTGTATTATAAATAGGTGTCTTGTAGATCATTTGTATCAAATTTATGATTTTCATTTGGAATACCATATTCAGCTTCTCCTGTCTTCTCTATTCTCTATTTCTCCCTGCCTTCTGTCCGCTTCTCTCTAATTCCTTTCTCTCTCTATTCTCTCTCTTTCTCTACATCTACCACAACACAAAGGTAATTGATGGAATGGCAGGACCAAAAGAGAACTTGTAACCCTTTTATTTAATTTGTTCAGGTCAAAAGTAACAAAGTTAGTGATTGATAAATTCTGCTGGTAGTTCTAAATTCCTTCTTTAGCTGCATGAAGTTATCATTAGTTCCGTATGCTTACCATATTGAGAATGCATATTAAGATATCCCATACTCTGGATTTGAGTATTTGTTTCTAATTAAATGGACCACCATAGTGCATGGTGATTAATAAGAACGCAAGATCCAGATCCCACTTGCGGTCTAGGTTTCTTAGCAATGACAGCCTCAGCAGCAACATGTCCCCAAACCAAAGAAAGGGCAACAACAAAATTCTTAGATAAGTCGTTAACTAAAAAATCCCATTCAATGACTTTATTATGCGTTTTCTGTGTTCTTTTCTACGAAAAAGACTTATAACCATCTTTAAGTGTCATCGTTATTTAGTACTGCTTAATTTTGGGACCAATTAGGGTTCATCTTGGTCGTCAAGAACTAACCCGTCCGAAAGAATAGATGGTTTGAGATTTCATACTTCACATGCTAGCCATGAACTGACCTAATTAATTTAACCGATAGGCGTTCAACACCATCTTAGTGATTATCTGAAAATATTCGCATGGAAACCTGAAATAAGCTTGCTATTTTAACAAGCTCAGGGGGAAACAGAGCTATTTTTTTCTTAGTTAACCTCAACTCAAGTGATGGCTGCTTCACAATTTATGCTTCTATTCCTCTCTTTGATGTTCCTCAAAAAATCCCAAAATATGCATCGTTATGGCTTCCAACCCTATTAATCTGTGACAATCCGCCCTCTTACAGCCTCACCAAAGTCAACATATTGCTGGGGCAAGTAAAATTAGGTTTTCCAAACCTGCTTATCACTCTGTGTGTGTGTGTGTTGAAGGAAAAAAGGTAGGGGGTATATTTTATTATCATAAATATAAATCCTTTATATTCCTCAAAAGTTAAACCATCAGTCAACCACTCATTTAGTAATACAGAACAAGAAGGAAACTGTAAAAGTATTGCCACTTTCTACATGCTAGTAAAGAGAAGATGACACAATCTAAAGAGAAGCTCCATTTATGCCATGCCTCCACTCGTTGCTGTCCTGATTATCTGAAAGAGAGCTGTTCACAGACGAATTAAGTATGATCAGTGAAATATGCAAGGGCATTTTCAAAGATTTAAGGAATATAATAAATCAAGGGAACGATCTAAAATAAATCAAGGGAACTATCTAAAATGAATCAAGGTAACTATCTAAAACAATCTAAATCATTTTTTTCCTATAATCCAAAAGCAGAAATACATGCAAACAAATCCTTCGGTTGCAAAAATCCCGACAAGATTGTGACAACTTGATCCCTTGAACTCAAATGTAAAAAACACAAGCCATATTTAAATTCTCAAGAAACAGAAGACGTTATAAACAAAATCAAATAAGTAAAATCAGTCTTTAACCATGAGATATATATTGACAATTACGATCCAAATATGAATTTAAAAGCAAAAATCAGAGCCTTACAAGATCCAATGACCACAAATACGAAGAATCCAAGAAGCATTGGCCCAACAGGATAGTCTTTCCCCTTCTTGGTAGTTGTTTCCGGCACAGCCCCTCTTTTTGTGATATTTTTCTCAAACTTCACCACCTTCCTATCTGCAAGGCGCCTTGATGTCGTCTACACAAGTAGCAGATCGCACAATTTCATTTAAAATCAAAAGAACAATCACAATTGAAATGATCCATAGCTAATTTCGCAAAGATCTCCCAACATACTGCGACCATACATTCAAATCCACAATTGGAAACGTGTTTAATACAAACAATGGCAGAAATATCAGATCCATAGGATCAATTGAAGCTAGAAAAGAAAAGGATTGCATTAATGACCAATAAGCATCACCGACAACCAGATTCACGAACATTAATTAAAAAAAGACAACAATAACAATAATTGTTAGATTGCGATCAAGTAATGAGAAAATAATGGACGAAAAACCCTAAGCTCCTAAATAACCAATTAAGGAAACAGGTCAAGGATCGAAAATAACAGAGGTGAAGAAAGCAGAGAGAAGAAAGTCAAAACGAACCATGGTGGCGGTAGATCGGAGACCGGAAAAGGCTGGAACAACGAGATCGCCGGAGATTGAGATAAGCTAGATGGTTCCGGCAGCACCTTCCCTCTTCCACCCTCTTCAGGCAGCTCGGACGCGTAAACACACAGGAAACAACGAACGCTTTCTGTTATGCCCCCGTTCTTAAAATAGGTTGAAGCCTGACACCATCTTGCGGTTAAAAAATAAATATCAACCAAAAATAAAATAGGGAAAATCCCAGAAAAAGCTATTGGAATATACCAAATCCCAGATTGAGCCCTTAAATTTCGAAAATGACAGAATGGGTCATTGACCCAATCTGTCATTTGTGAAATTCAGGCGAATTGACATTTTTACCCCTGAGCAAAAGTGAGTAGTTATTCTCTAAATAATATAGGTAAACACTTATACTGTTCTAGTGATTACAAGATTCGTTGTAGTTAATAATAAGGTACCTGACAATAATAAGATACCTGACTATGAAAAAATGAGTAGTTATTCTTTACACAAATCTAGGTAATGCTTACATTGTTCTAGTGATTACAACATTAGTTGTAGTTAATAACAAGACACCTGACTATGAAAAAGTGAATAGTTATTCGCTATACGAATCTAGGTAACACCTAAACTCTTATAGTGATTCCTTGAATCATTGTAGTGAATGAATAAATGAGGGCAAAATTGTCAATTCGCCTGAATTTCACAAATGACAGATTGGGTCAATGACCCATTCTGTCATTTTCAAAATTTAAGGGCCCAATCTGGCATTTCCCATATTCCAAGGACCTTTTTTGGGATTTTCCCAATAAAATAATGCTAATATTTTTTTAAAAAAAATAATAATGATCGGGTCTCCGAGCATAGCGTCACGCCTCCTTCGCGATTGGGTCAAGCTACGCACTCATACACACGTGTCATCTAATTATTCGATGACCTACAAACGTGGCGTCCGTTCTCTACAAAAGGTCAAACAACGAAGGATTTTCTATATAATCCAAAACTACGGATTTTTTTAAAAAAAAGTAAGAAAATCAATGTACCAGGATGTAAATAAAGTTTAGAAAGAAAAAAAAACAAGGGGAAATCACAAATAAAGACCCTTGAATTAGCAAAATCACTCTATGGTCACCTGAATATGCTAAATTACTATGAGGGACCCGGTCTCAAATTGTAATTATGAAATCATGGCCAAATTACCAAAATACCCCTCTTTAATTTTTTTTTTAATAGGGAAAGCCACTGCCTCACCGGAATCCGGCCACCGGCGCCGGAGCTCCGGCGGCCGCTTCCGGCCACTGTCGGCGGCCGGACGCCGGGGTCCGGCCGCCGGAGCTCCGGCGCCGGCGGCCGCTTCTTGCGGTCTTCCTTTATTTTTTTTTTTAAACTGTTTTTTTTTTTTAAATTGGGGGGAAGTGAGGTTGGGGGGATTTGATCCCCCAACCTAATGCTTCCCAAAATAAGGAATGACCATTGAGCCAACAAATTTTTGTTAACATTATGATGCAAAAAAAAATATAAGTTAACTCATTTACTCTTGTTCCAGGTGATAACAACAATACATTTGGAAATAACAAGTTCTGATTGTAAAATAACACGTCTGGAATAAAAATTTAACAATATGTTTTTTTTATAACAATAAATTTTGTTGCAGGCAATAACAACAATACATTTAAAAATAACAAGTTCTGATTATAAAATAACAAGTTTGGGATTAAAATTTAATAACACGTTTTTTTATAACAATACACTTTGTTTCAAGTGATAACAACAATACATTTAAAAATAACAAGTTCTGATTATAAGATAATAAGTCTAGGATTAAAATTTAACAACACGTTTTTTATAACAATTAATTATTTTATACTTTAAAAAATAAATTATTTATAACTTATAAAAAATATTTTTAATATATTTATTTCTCTAAAAAAATACTTTTTAATCTGTATATCTATACAACTCATTATAAATCAAACTACTTCTTATAAATTATAAAGTATTTATAATAAGGCATTTTTGATTTATTAATCATAGTATAAATTTTATATTATTTCATTCTTTAAATATTAAAAATAGTTTTTATATTTAAAGAATAAAATAGTATTTTTAATTATAAATTAGAGATAAATTTCATTTATAAATTTAAGCAGTCAAAAAGTATTTTTAATCCACAATAAATTGTACTATTTATAATTTATAAGAAGTAGTTTGATTTATAATAATTTGTATAGATATATAGATTAAAAATTTTTAAAAAAAAATTAAAAAAGTGTGTTGCCATTTTCCCTAAATTTTATTTATAAATTTGAACAATAAAAAAGTATTTTTAATCTATAAAAAATTATACTTCAAGTTCTGATTATAAATTGGAGATAAAAATTATTTTTTTAGCAAATTAAATAGATTACAAGTACTTTTATAAGTTATAAATAATTTATTTTCCAAAAGTATAAAATAATTAATTGTTATAAAAAAAGGTGCTGTTGAATTTTAATTCTAGACTTGTTATTTTATAATCAGAACTTGTTATTTCCAAATGTATTGTTGTTATCACTTGAAACAAAGTGTGTTGTTATAAAAAAACATGTTGTTAAATTTTAATCCCAGACTTATTATCTTATAATCAGAACTTGTTATTTTTAAATGTATTGTTGTTATCACTTGAAACAAAGTGTATTGTTATAAAAAAACGTGTTATTAAATTTTAATCCCAAACTTGTTATTTTATAATCAGAACTTGTTATTTTAAATGTATTGTTGTTATTGCCTGCAACAAAATTTATTGTTATAAAAAAAACATATTGTTAAATTTTTATTCCAGACGTGTTATTTTACAATCAGAACTTGTTATTTCCAAATGTATTGTTGTTATCACCTGGAACAAGAGTAAATGAGTTAACTTATTTTTTTTTTTGCATCATAATGTTAACAAAAATTTGTTGGCTCAATGGTCATTCTTTATTTTGGGAAGCATTAGGTTGGGGGATCAAATCCCCCCAACCTCACTTCCCCCCAATTTAAAAAAAAAAACAATTTCAAAAAAAAAATAAAGGAAGACCGCCGGAAGCGGCCGCCGGCGCCGGAGCTCTGGCGGCCGGACCCCGACGTCCGGCCGCCGACAGTGGCCGGAAGCGGCCGCCGGAGCTCCGGCGCCGGTGGCCGGATTCTGGTGAGGCAGTGGCTTTCTTTTTAAAAAAAAAAAAATTAAGAGGGGTATTTTGGTAATTTGGCCATGATTTCATAATTACAATTTGAGACCGGGTCCTTCATAGTAATTTAGCATATTCAGGTGACCATAGAGTGATTTTGCTAATTGGAGGGTCTTTATTTGTGATTTCCCCAAAAAACAAATCCATTGTCAATTATATATAGATGTAAAAAGTTATCATTTTATTTTTTTAATAAAACTATTCTATTTTATATTGAGAAAATTAGTTAATAGATTAATACTACCTCCAATCTTAATTATAAGAGTCAGTTGACTAATTTGAGAAGATTAAAGAAGTAAGTTGAGTTAGTTATTTGTTCTAAATAAGTGTTGTTTTTTCTAAAATATCCTTACTAATTAAGTGTATTAACTAGAACTATCATTGTTAGAAGAGTTACTTTGAAAAAATATATATAAATATGAGAAACAAAGTAAATCGGGGTCTTATATTTAAAATGAAAATAAAAGTCAAATAAGATCTTATATTAAGGACCGGAAATAGTATTTGTAATTGAGAAAATTAATTATTTAAAAAATAAATAAATAAATTGCTGTCTGCCTATTTTTCATCTACAAGTTACTGGAAGGATTCTTTGTCATGCGTCTACGTTTCCACCTGTTTAACGCAAACGGCGTGCTGAGTCAGAGATGTAAGGCGGCAGGCGCGGCACGTGCACTGCGACCGGGCAGCAAATAAATAGTTAAAAATCACCAAATTTATGTTTGGACTGAGAAAACATGTTCATAAAAATAAGAAGTTATTTACATTATTATTGAAAAACAAGTTTAGGTGTAAAATAATTTTAAAAGGTATTATTTTTATTAAATAATAAAAATATAAATTCACATAATATAATAATTTTAATCATTAGGAGGAAATTATATTTAAAAAATAAAAATATATTTAAATTAAAAATCATAATAATATGAAAATTTTTGAATTAAATAATATTACATAATTAATTAGATAACGATACACTTTGCACAATTAAAAGTAAATAACCAAAAATTGAGAAGTATAACCACACATAAATATAAAGACAAAAATGTCTTTTTATTTCAAGAAGCTGCTTACCGCAAGCAAGTTTAAAATATTGGCTTTTACAATATCAGCCGTTGGCGTATAAATAAGATTAGTTAAAAACTGGTCCAAGGTTTCAAACATGTGAAAAATTAGCAAACATGCTTGTGGGCTCAGAAAGCAGCGTAAAAGCACTTAAAACACGATGCCAAACGGAACCTAAAATCAATTTTAAAATCACGATTAAACTTTGTTCGTATTTGATATAAAGCATTAAAAATAAAAGATAAGAATTGGGATTAGGATTAAAAAAATATATTAAAAAATATTTAATATGAGAGATTATTTGTTACATGAGATTAGACAAACCCATATATATGGGATTGGAGAATACCATAGGAGAAAGTGGTATTTCCTAATTCCTTCTTCATGGGTATGTGTAATCCCATGTAATAAACAATTACTTATACTAGATATTCTTTTAATGATTTTTCTCAATTTTAATCTCAGTTCCTATTCCTTATTTTTAATTTTTCGTACCAAAAGGGATATTTGGGCCTTGTAGGGTTTCTGTCCAGGACTTGTGGGCCTGAATGAAATTGGGCCTATTTTTTGCCAACAGAAATTGGAATATTACATCAAGGCCAGTTTAATTTTATCAGCCATGTCTTGGGCCTTGGCCAATTCGCTTGGGGGGGGGGGGGAAGAGAGAGCCAGGTGTCTCTTGAGTCCAAAAAAGAATGATTCACAGCTAAAAAGGGGGGGACACGTTACTATATTGTATATTATCATTTGTGTTGAATGATATGGGGGTGGGGACAGTTTGGTATGCCAACATTCAATTTTGCCTCAATGAGTGAGATGCCTCATGTCTTCCTTCTAGATTTGTCCTTTTTAATTTTAATACCCACTAGCATGAAATGTAAAAGATATTT